TGTCATTTATTTGAACCCACAACATAACCTCAACTTAAATCATTACCCTTTTGAAGGCAGTGTTTCCATCTTTCTAATGCTTTTTGATTGAGCATTTTGGGGGATTCAAATAATTTTCCCTTTAAGTGGGAAACAAAACAAAGTCTGAAGAGGCAAGATTTGAGCTTGTAGAATGGATGAAGTAAGATTTCTCAATGAAATTCTCTTAGGCCAGCCCTTGCTACCCTTAAAGAATGATCAGGTGCATTGTCATGATTTCTCTTTTTAATTCCTTGGTGAAATTATAGTGGCCATTTTCTCACCAATACCATTTTAAATTTTATTAAAATTTTCCATATTAAGCCCCCATTCTATGGCCTTTAGTCATCTTTCAGGTCTAGAATTGAACTCACTCCTGTAGCTCAATTTTCAGCCAACAATAGAGAGATTTTTAAGATGAATGATAACTCCAGAAAGATAGCATTGCTTGCATATTCATACTGTGAAGAAGAAGAAGAAGAAGGAGGAGGAGAAGGAGGAGCAGGAGGAGGAGGAGGAGGAAATCTCCTGTGATCATTCTGTGTCCTTTGAGAAAAATCTGTCAACATTAGCCTTTCGGGATCTCCAAGAAACAGTCCCCATAACTTTCTAGGCTGACCTCTCTGCCTTCAACTTGACTGGCCCAGCAGGTCCCCTCAGATGCCACTGTTTTGATTGCACCTTTTTATTTGAAGGCACCCTAAGGAGACTAATGATAGAAAGATGGGACTTTCTACTCCTGTAAAGAGTTGAGTTAAAGTCTCAGACACTCACAGGGGTAGTTCTATCCTGCCCTGTAGGGTCACTCTGAGTCAGCATAGACTCATAGTCATTGAGTAAGGAGACAAAAACAAGTGTATTACAGAGGGAACTTGGTTGAGGTCATCTGATAACAGACATGTTTAACCGCATTTTTTTTAATAAACTCGTGTATGTATGAACTGAATAGCAACAGTTTTGACTTGCCCTCATGGGGTGTGTGTGTGTGTGTGTGTGTGTGTGTGTGTGTGTGTGTGTCTTAAGGAGCAAGGAGCTCTGGTAGCACATTCTGTACTTGGGCTGCTAACCAGCTGTTCCTTGAGAGAAAGATAAGACTGTCTGCCCCAGTAAAGATTTACAGCCTTGGAAACACTATAGAAACCCTATATAGGCTGCTATGAATCAGAGTTGACTCAATAGCAGTCGGATATGTATCTTTAAAATTCAGAATTATCATAGAGTCTCATGAAACTTGAAAATGACTGATCCTCCCTCTCCACTCCCTCCCCTTCCCCCAGTCAACCTCAAAAACCAAACTCATTGCCATCGACTTGGTTCAACTCATAGTGACCCTGTAGGACTGGGTAGAACTCCTCCTGAGGTTTCTGAGACTATAAATCTTTAAAGGAGTATAAAATCTTATCTTTGTCCCACAGATTGAATGGTGGTTTTGAACTGCTGAACTTGCGATCACAGCCCACTAGTAACCACTACACCACCAGGGCTTTCCCCTTAATAACCAACCAAACCAACTAAAAACTGCCATTGAGTCGATGCCAACTCATAGCAACCCTATAGAATAGGATAGAACTGAGTTTTGAAATGGTAACTCTTTACAGATGAAATAAGCTCTGTCTGTTTCCCTCGGTGGTTTCAAATTGCTGACCTTGCTGTTAGCAGCCCTTTCCATAACTACTATGCCATCAGAGCTGCTTCCTCTTAATAAAGACATAACGAATTCAGCTGGCTGCCCGGCAGCTAGACATATGAACCTGTTCTATAGAGTGTTTAAGAATCACTGGCTTAGTCCCTGACTAATTACCCTGTTTCCCCGAAAGTAAGACATCCTCCGAAAATAAGACCTGCTTACAGTTTTGCCTCTCGCTGAAATATAAGGCATCCCCCCCAAAAAATAAGGCCCCCCGAAGCTACCATAACTCTGGACTCTGGACTGTAACAGCGGGCGCCGCCACACAGCTCACTGTTGACCGCAGCTCAGCCGGAGCAGACAGGAAGTGCGAGGTCTCTTTTAATAAAACAATAAACAATAAATGTGTACTGTATTCTTCTTCATGGAAAAATAAGATATCCCCTGAAAATAAGACCTAGAGTATTTTGGGAGCAAAAATTAATATAAGACACTGTCTTATTTTTGGGGAAACAGGGTAGTTGTTGATAAATGAGCAATAATGGAGACCTATTTAAAGGCACATAAAATGAGATAGAAGTTATGGTCCAGTAGTCTAAGAATGCACAGAGAGGAGAGGTAAAGGAGCAATAACAGGGATTTACTGTACCTGTCCAAAATTCCTGATTATGGCTACTTAAAGGTCACTGGAAGATCAGAGTGGAGTGATTGAAATAGTCATCTGCAGAGCTGGACACTTGGCCTGACGGCACCAATTGATCAGTAGGTAACAAAAATGTCATTTTTGAATGTAGAAGAACATCACTCTAAAGGGGTCATACATTGTTAGTTCATAATTCAGTTAAGAGGATTTGGCACCTACAGATACTTTTCCTGCAGTTAAGGAGATCAGAGCTCAAGAAGCAGTAAGGTTTATCATGGTCACCCTTCTCAAGGTGAGTGTGTTCTGTGAAAACAATTTAAGTCTCTAAGCATTCCCTTAGGACTCTGTGCATTTGTTTTGTTGTTGTTGGAATTTGAGAGGAATGCAAAGGAAGAGATCAGAAACTACAGCTAAGAAGACTCAAAAAGAGATGATTTCAGAAAAATTATTCTTATTTTAGCCATACAGAATATCCTGGAAAACTTAAAAACCAACAAAAACACCAATATCTGTACTCAGAACTCTGGCACCTGAATGCTCTAAAAGCTCCACAAACCACCACCACCACCACCAACAACAACAAAATCAACCCCCCTAAAACAAAACCCAAACAAATAAAAGTAACACCCAAACTCACTACATCAAGTTAATGCCCATACATGTTGGCCCAGAAGGGCAAGGTAGACCTGACCCCTGAGTTTCTGAGACTGGAATTCTTTACAAGAGTAGAACGTCTTGTTTCTCTCCTACAGTGGCCAGTGGGGATGGCAGCCCAACAGAACCACTATGCCACCAGAGCTCCTCCACAAACCTATCATTACTCTCTCAAGTACACGGTGATACCTGGAGACCCCAGGTGTTTTCTGAATAGAATTGCCAGCTCCGTTGAGTTTGTATAGCTATGAGCTTTAAGAAGTAGAGAGCAAATCTAGCTTGGAAGCAACAAAGCCTATGTGGAAGAAGCACACCAGCCTGTGTGATCACGAGTTGTCGAAGGGATCAGTTATCAGGCATCAAAGAACAAAAAATCTTATAATTGTGAAGGGGAGTGCGGAGTGGGGACCCAAAGCCCATCTGTGGGCAACCAGTAATCCACTTACAGAGGGGTCTCATGGAGGAGACAAGGCAGCTAGAGTGCAGTGTAGCAATGATGAAACATACAACTTTCCTCTAGTTCCTAAATGCTTCCTTCCCACCTCACTATCATGATCCCAATTCTACCTTA